CCTGTCTCCAGAATAAAGTAAGTTTCTATCCTCAGACATTTACTTTAGATTCATCAAGACTGAAGAAATCCTATCAAAGATTTATCATCTCAAGCTACTACTTCCCATCTTTCACTGTCTCCAGTAATTATTTTTTGTGCAATGACAGTAGAAGAATGTCTGGCCCTGACACTAATGGTGTCAGCATTACTGTGTAAAGCAAGGAGAACCAGCCAGGTGTATTTTTTTTTTTCTGGGTGACTTCCAGCATGTCCAAGGACAAAGATTAACTGAGGTGCTGAAAAGAAAATAGAACCACTTGCCAGTGAGCAAAAAATGTGTTCCATATAAAAATGTTCGTGTCTTTGAAATGAGACTAGTTTGATCAAAGCTCTATGGTTGGTTACCAAGATTTATTGCAAATGTTTGTAGGTGATCTTCTCAAAAGTGACATTTGGCAACTTCGTTGTTTTTGTTCTCAGTACCTCAACTGTTACTCTGCCCCTCAAAGGAGGTTCCTGGATGCTGGTGTAGGGCTCTTGATCTAGGGAATTGGATCTGTGTTCCAGTTCCCTGAATTGAGCCTGAATACCTTCCACCCTCTCCCCCCCACATGCACTGTATAATCCTATGGGTTTAGCACTCCCCATGATTATAATAACTGTTACTCTGAACTTTACACAGGTCTATAAATCTACCATCAACAAGTCTTCTAGGAATAAGACTGGTTTACAATTTATATGGACAGAAACAAAAGCCTTGTTCTCTGATAAGGCTGTGAAGTTTGTCTACCTCACTGCTAGGGGTATGTCACAAATTTCAATAATGCAGTCAACTGGCCAAGTTGTTTTGGTCCTTTGGTGCATTACAGTCTTAATGGAATCATCCCTATATCTCACAAAAACTATGTGAACGAAGTCATATTTAGCACACAGTGGCTTATCCTCAAATTTCTTGAACCAAGTGGAGTTCAGATTTTCATCCTTTCCTTCCGCAGCAGAAGTGGGAATGAGAAGCCTCATTTCTGACATCAATGGTGTCAGCAGTGAAGTGAACAATGACCTTAATGGTGTCACCAGTGAATCGAGCAAAACTTTCAGGCAGGATCATTAGGAGGGATGAATGCACCATTCAAGTTCATGTTTCTCAGGTATTTTCTGCTAGTGCTGAGTCAATCAAAAAGTATTTGGTCGTAAATGTTACTATGTCCAAATATGGACGAAAGGCTAACTAATCGCTCTGACCTTGCACAGCTTATAAAAATCACACAAAACCTGCAGCAACCAATGATTTTTTTTATTTCTCAACATACCAGTCATCTCCCACTGAGGCAGGGTGACTTGAAAAAGAAGAAAACCTCACAAAGCCTTTCTTCTCTTTACAGTTAGTAATTTATACAGAACAAGGGGTTACTAGCCCCTTGCTTTCAGCATTTTAGTTGCCTCTTACAAAACACATGGCTTGTGGAGGGAAGATTCTTCTCTACTTCCCCATGGAGATGAACGGGAATGAATAAGAACAAGAACCATTAGGAAAATAGAAGAAAACTCAGATTGGTGTGTATAAATATAAGTGTACACACCTGTGGAATATGACCTAATTACAAGTAGAAGTAGCAAGATGTACCTGTTATTTTGTGTGTTTATGAGACAGAAAGAAGACACCAGCAATCCTACCATTGTGTAAAACGAAAAAACAAAAGTTTCTCCTTTTAACTTTAGTAATGTATACAGGAGAAGGGGTTACTAGCCCTTTGTTCCCGGCATTTTAGTCGCCTCTTACAACATGCATAGCTTACGGAGGAAGAATTCTATTCCACTTTCCCCTGGAGATATGAGGAAATAAACAAGAACAAGAACTAGTATGAAAATAGAAGAAAACCCAGAGGGATGTGTGTATATATATGCTTGTATATGCATGTGTAGTGTGACCAAAGTGTAAGTAGAAGTTGCAAGCATACCTGAAATCTTGCATGTTTGTGAGACAGATAAAAGACACCAGCAATCCTACCATCATGTAAAAGAATTACAAGCTTCCATTTCACACTCATTTGGCAGGACAGTAGTACCTAACTGGGCGAGAAAACAATAATGTACACAGATAATATATTTTCACAATCGTACTGAAATGAAAGCAATACATCCTAAAAATTTCCAAAGCAAAACGCCAAGTAAATATATGTAAACTATAAGTATTTATGGATGTATGAGAAGAGAGGAAGTGGGTAAAGGGTGAAGATGATATCTCTCAACTTAGCACTCTACTATATCTTCACATGTGAATGACTGACCAAAAATTTTGCCACTTAACAAAATTTTCAGTGTACAGGTGTAATTTAGTTGTTAAATTTTGCTTGTTATGATGCAGTGTAATAACTGACAATTTAAGGCATTTTAGAATATTTTCTGTTAACAAGAATTGAATCTAGGTTACCCAAATAATCCTAAAACCACTTGTTACCAGCTTGTGACAAAAAAATGTCTCTGGCATTTTTTAGAGGGCTTTTCCCAATGTCCTATTTATCTATGCTGAAGCAAAACTGATACGAAAGTTGAAACTTGTATGGTAACACTATGTAGCTTATCAGTGCCAATGATCAGAAGCAAAAGGCTTACTGAGATTTCCTTAGTTAAGCAATAACCACCACCCAGACACCAATTTACTGCTAAGTGACCAGGGACATTAAGTTTAAGAAGACTTTGTTCATACATCTTGTTCTTTCCAGGAAGGTAGAAATTACAAAATTTATCCAGCACTAGGACTGAAAGGCCATTAAATGCTTTCTGCAGTGAAATCATTCACAGGTTCTTGGCATCACTTTCCACATGATCACAAACTATAAAAACCTTCCCTCCCAATTAAAAACTAATCACAAACATTTGGAAAAACTTAGTTTATTCATAAACTAACAATATGTACTTACATCTAACACAAAAAAATTAAAAACTTCCTGAACCCAAGATAAAAAAAACCAGGATCTTCCAATTGTGAAATGACTGCACTGACCCACTTCCAAAATTTTATAGTATTAATTCTTTTTAAATTAAGTGAATGAAATACAATTAATCCATGGAGAAGTGGAAAGAATCCTTCCTCCATAAACCATGAGTGTCGTAATAGGTGACTAAAATGCTGGAAGCAGGGGGCTAGTAACCCTTTCCAGTGCATAAATTACTTAATCTAGGTAGTAGGTTGGTAGACAGCAACCGCCCAGGGAGGTACTAACGCCCAGCCAAGTGAGTGTAAAACGGAAGCCTGTAATTGTTTTACACGATGGTAGGATTGCTGGTGTTTTATTTTTTCTGTCTCATACACATGCAAGATTTCAGGTACTTCTTGCTACTTCTACTTACACTTAGGTCACACTACACATACGTGTACAAGCATATATATACACACCCCTCTGGGTTTTCTTCTATTTTCTTTCTAGTTCTTATTCTTGTTTATTTCCTCTTACCTCCATGGGGAAGTGGAACAGAATTCTTCCTCCGTAAGCCACGTGTGTTGTAAGAGGCGACTAAAATGCCAGGAGCAAGGGGCTAGTAACCCCTTCTCCTATATGTGTTACTAAATGTAAAAGGAGAAACTTTCGTTTTTCCTTTTGGGCCACCCTGCCTAGGTGGGATACGGCCAGTGTGTTGAAAGAAAGAAAAAAATTACTAAATGCAAAAAGAGATACACTTTATAATTTTCTTCTTTTTTCGAGTTACCCTGCCTCAGTGGGATACAGCTGGCAGTTTGAAAAAAAAATTAAGTGAAAGAGGAGAGGTGATACTCTAGTTCAGGTTCTGAGGGCCATTTGAATTATGAATCCTGTGCACTACCAGCGAGACAGCTACTGAATGAATTTGGGATCAGTATTAGTGGTATCAGATGGTTTTGATGTTTTTAGTACTGGTCTAGCGTTGAATACTGGTATTGGCTAATTTTACTGGTACTGGCCTAAAATTAGTACACAATAATCCCTCCTCAGAATTATTGTACTTCAGTTTGAAAGTACTGATGTGGTAAAAACTTCAGCAAGCAAGACTGGGAGCCAAACTGTGCACTGTTAGCAGTACACTGTTTTTTTTTTTTTTTCAACAAGTCGGCCGTCTCCCACCGAGGCAGGGTGACCCAAAAAAGAAAGAAAATCCCCAAAAAGAAAATACTTTCATCATCATTCAACACTTTCACCACACTCACATTATCACTGCTTTTGCAGAGGTGCTCAGAATACAACAGTTTAGAAGCATATACGTATAAAGATACACAACATATCCCTCCAAACTCCCAATATCCCAAACCCCTCCTTTAAAGTGCAGGCATTGTACTTCCCATTTCCAGGACTCAAGTCCGACTATATGAAAATAACCGGTTTCCCTGAATCCCTTCACTAAATATTACCCTGCTCACACTCCAACAGATCGTCAGGTCCCAAGTATCATTCGTCTCCATTCACAGTACACTGTTATATGTACAATAAAGATAAATATGCCACAGTGAAATGAACATGAATAGATTAGTGTCATAAGAGAGTGCTAAACCTGTAAGGGTTATATTACACCTGCCCCTCAAGGGAGGTTCCTTGATGCTGGTGAAGGGGCTCTTGATCTAGGGAATTGGATCTGTGCTCCAGTTCCTTGAATTAAGCCTGAATACCTTCCATCCCTCCCCTCTCCCCCCCACAGACACTGTATAATCCTATGGGTTTAGTGCTTCCCCATGATTATAATTATATACTGCACCTGGGGAAAAAAAGGCAATCTGGTTTGATTCAAGAAAGAGGGAAGGGTAGCTTCAATTTCCTGGATCAAGACCCCTTCAGCATAAAAGCATCCCTTTTTGAAGAAAACACATGAAAAGGGCATGAAGTGAGAGGTTTTCAATTTTACAACATACCAAATTGTACTCGTATAAGAAAAACAAATTAGCAGGAATTCATTTTTTTGAGAAAAAATAGTGCTAATATAATTCTTATTAAATCATGCATCCATGCATGCAAACACTAATCCTCATATCTTTTTCTTACCAGTACTTACCCATAACTCCGTACTGCTGAGGTGTCAGAGTGCCAGCATCACCAGCCTGTGTGGTCAGCACAGAGGCTACACTCGTCCGATCACTGCTGGCCGAGGTGAAGCTTTGACGATGAACAGAACGATGGAATCCAGGTGATATATTACCACCAATACTATGAATTTCTGGAAAAAAAATTGAACTGACTTAGTGTTTTTCACATTAATTAAGACTGTTGCAATAAAAGAAATTTAATCCCTTGGATTTGACAAGACTGTGTATTATTATAATTACAGGAAAGTGCTGAACCTGTTAAGTCATACAGCACTTGGGGAAAAAACAAGAAGTAATTCAGTTCCTTGAATCAAAAGCTCTTCACCAGCATCAAAATAACCCTCTGGAGGGAATATATATTGTATACAGTAAGCCCTCACTTTAACAGACTTTGGAAATATGGTTCTTTTTGATTATAATAATATGGGACAAAATCTCTTGGGCCTGCAAATTTATCCACTACAATCACCATTACCAGCCACCAGCCCTCACTATTACTCCGTTATATCAAGAGAATACCACGATGCTGTACAGGCTTGCCAGACCATTTTATAGTGTTGCAGCTGAGTTATGAGTGCACAACTGCACATATTACAGCAATTATAATCAATGTTATTTACCAAAATAAATATATATATATTTTTTTTTTCAACAAGTCGGCCGTCTCCCACCGAGGCAGTGTGACCCAAAAAGAAAGAAAATCCCCAAAAAGAAAATACTTTCATCATCATTCAACACTTTCACCTCACTCACACATAATCACTGTTTTTGCAGAGGTGCTCAGAACACAACAGTTTAAAAGCATATACGTATAAAGATACACAATATATCCCTCCAAACTGCTAATATCCCAAAACCCCTCCTTTAGAGTGCAGGCATTGTACTTCCCATTTCCAGGACTCAAGTCCGGCTATATAAAAATAACCGGTTTCCCTGAATCCCTTCACTAAATATTACCCTGCTCACACTCCAACAGATCGTCAGGTCCCAAATACCATTCGTCTCCATTCACTCCTATCGAACACGCTCATGCACGCCTGCTGGAAGTCCAAGCCCCTCACCCACAAAACCTCCTTTACCCCTTCCTTCCAACCTTTTCGAGGACGACCCCTACCCCGCCTTCCTTCTCTACAGATTTAAATGTTCTCCATGTCATTCTACTTTGATCCATTCTCTCTAAATGACCAAACCACCTCAACAACCCCTCTTCAATCCTCTGACTAATACTTTTATTAACTCCACACCTTCTAATTTCCACACTCCGAATTTTCTGCATAATATTTTCACCACACATTACCCTTAAACAGGACATCTCCACTGCCTCCAACCGCCTCCTCGCTGCTGCATTCACAACCCAAGCTTCACACCCATATAAGAGTGTTGGTACTACTATACTTTTCATACATTCCCTTCTTTGCCTCCATAGATAACGTTTTTTGACTCCACATATACCTCAACGCATCACTCACCTTTTTTCCTTCATCAATTCTATGATTAACCTCACCCTTCATAAATCCATCCACCCCCGCATAACGATCACCTCCGAATGCGACCAATTATGTAAATGTATTTATGTAAGTGCGTTTGTACATGTATGTTTGGGGGTCTGAAATGGACTAATCTACTTCACAATATTCCTTATGGGAACAAATTCGGCCAGTACTGGCACCTGAACATACTTCTGGAGTGAAAAAATATCGTTAACCGGGGGTCCACTGTATCTGAAAACATTCACTTCTTCCATACTCCTCCTCCCCAATTTGATATCCAATTTTTCTTTATCTAAATCATTTGATACCCTCATCACCTTACTCTTTTCTATGTTCACTTCCAACTTTCTACCTTTACACACACTCCCAAACTCATCCACTAACCTTTGAAATTTTTCTTTAGAATCTCCCATAAGCACAGTATCATCAGCAAAAAGTAACTGTGTCAACTCCCATTTTGTATTTGATTCCCCATAATTTAATCCCACCCCTCTCCCAAACACCCTAGCATTTACTTCTTTTACAACCCCATCTATAAATATATTAAACAACCATGGTGACATTACATATCCCTGTCTAAGACCTATTTTTACCGGGAAGTAGTCTCCCTTCAAGAGTGTATCAGTCTGTAGTGGAAGGAAGGCGGGGTAGGGGTCGGCCAAGGAAAGGTTGGAGGGAGGGGATAAAGGAGGTTTTGTGTGCGAGGGGCTTGGACTTCCAGCAGGCATGCGTGAGCGTGTTTGATAGGAGTGAATGGAGACAAATGGTTTTTAATACTTGACGTGCTGTTGGAGAGTGAGAAAAGTAACATTTATGAAGGGGTTCAGGGAAACCGGCAGGCTGGACTTGAGTCCTGGAGATGGGAAGTACAGTGCCTGCACTCTGAAGGAGGCGTGTTAATGCTGCAGTTTAAAAACTGTAGTGTAAAGCACCCTTCTGGCAAGACAGTGATGGAGTGAATGATGGTGAAAGTTTTTCTTTTTCGGGCCACCCTGCCTTGGTGGGAATCGGCCAGTGTGATAAAAATAATAGTGTCCCTCTCTTCTATCCTCATAAAAACTCTACAGCATTTAGTAACTTACCACCTATTCCACATACTTGCAACATCTGCCACATTGCTCCCCCCCCTATCCACTCTATCATATGCTTTTTCTAAAACCATAAATGCAATAAAAACTTCCCTACCTTTATCTAAATACTGTTCACATATATGCTTCTATGTAAACACTTGATCTACACATCCCCTACCCACTCTGAAACCTCCTTGCTCATCCGCAATCCTACATTCTGTCTTGCCTCTAATTCTTTCAATAATAACCCTACCGTACACTTTTCCTGGTATACTCAATAAACTTATTCCTCTATAATTTTTACAATCTCTTTTGTCCCCCTTCCCTTTATATAAAGGGACTGTACATGCTCTCCGCCAATCCCTAGGTACCTTCCCCTCTTTCATACATTTATTAAACAGAAGTACCAACCACTCCAACACTATATCCCCCCCTGCTTTTAACATTTCTGTCATGATCCCATCAGTTCCAGCTGCTTTACCCCCTTTCATTTTACGTAATGCCTCACGTACCTCCCCCACACTTACATTCTGCTCTTCTTCACTCCTAAAAGATGGTATACCTCCCTGGCCAGTGCATGAAATTACTGCCTCCCTTTCTTCCTCAACATTTAAAAGTTCCTCAAAATATTCTCGCCATCTACCTAATACCTCCCTCTCCCCATCTACTAACTCCCCTACTCTGTTTTTAACTGACAAATCCATACATTCCCTAGGCTTTCTTAACTTGTTTAACTCACTCAAAATTTTTTTCTTATTTTCATTAAAATTTCTTGACAGTGCCTCTCCCACTCTATCATCTGCTCTCCTTTTGCACTCTCTCACCACTCTCTTCACCTTTCTTTTACTCTCCATATACTCTGCTCTTCTTATAACACTTCTGCTTTGTAAAAACCTCTCATAAGCTACCTTTTTCTTTTTTATCACACCCTTTGCTTCATCATTCCACCAATCACTCCTCTTTCCTCCTGCACCCATCCTCCTATAACCACAAACTTCTGCCCCACATTCTAATACTGCATTTTTAAAGCTCGTCCAACCCTCTTCAACCCCCCCACTACTCATCTTTGCACTAGCCCACCTTTCTGCCAATAGTCGCTTATATCTCACCCAAACTTCCTCCTCCCTTAGTTTATACACTTTTACTTCCCTCCTACTTGTTGTTGCCACCTTCCTCTTGTCCCATCTACCTCTTACTCTAACTGTAGCTACAACTAAATAATGATCTGATATATCAGTTGCCCCTCTATAAACATGTACATCCTGGAGCCTACCCATTAACCTTTTATCCACCAATACATAATCTAACAAACTACTTTCAGTATGTGCTACATCACACCTTGTATATTTATTTATCCTCTTTTTCATAAAATATGTATTACTTATTACCAAATCTCTTTCTACACATAGCTCAATTAAAGGCTCCCCATTTACATATACACCCCTGGCACCCCAAATTAACCTACTACTCTCTCCACAACATTTTTACCCACTTTAGCATTGAAATCCCCAACCACAAGTACTCTCACACTTGGTTCAAAACTCCCCATGCATTCACTCAACATTTCCCAAAATCTCTCTCTCTCCTCTACACTTCTCTCTTCTCCAGGTGCATATACACTTACTATAACCCACTTTTCACATCCAACCTTTATTTTACTCCACATAATCCTTGAATTAATAAATTTATAGTCCCTCTTTTCCTGCCATATCTTATCCTTCAACATTATTGCTACTCCTTCTTTAGCTCTAACTCTATTTGAAACCCCTGACCTAATCCCATTTATTCCTCTCCACTGAAACTCTCCCACCCCCTTCAGCTTTGTTTCACTTAAAGCCAGGACATCCAGGTTCTTCTCATTCATAACATCCACAATCATCTCTTTCTTATCATTTGCACAACATCCACGCACATTCAGACTTCCCACTTTGACAATTTTCTTCTTCTTATTCTTTTTAGTAATCTTTACAGGAAAAGGGGTTACTAGCCCATTGTTCCCGGCATTTTAGTTGACTTTTACAACACGCATGGCTTACGGAGGAAAGATTCTTATTCCACTTCCCCATGGATATAAAAGGAAAAGTAATAAGACCAAGAACTATTAAGATAAAATCAAAGAAAACTCAGATGAGTGTGTATAAATAAACGTGTACATGTATGTGCAGTGTGACCTAAGTTTAAGTAGAAGTAGCAAGACATACTTGTAATCTTGCATATTTATGAGACAGACAAAAGACACCAGCAATCCTACCATCATGTAAAACAATTGCAGGCTTTTGTTTTACATTCACTTGGCAGGACGGTAGTACCTCCCTGGGTGGTTGCTGTCTACCAACCTACTACCTACTAGTACATAATAATTTGTTCAGCTTATAGTGCCTATAGTTTACTTTAGTTTTATTCAGGCTTTCATTGAATATTATAAAACAGAAAATAAAAAAAAGAAACACTCTTAAATTTGTTGGAACATTAAGTCTCTAGTGCAGAACATTCAACATTGCTCAGATGCAGTAGCATCTCATTGCTAATAGAATCCTTTTCCCAATTCCACTCCATACTCACTCTGGAAGTGAATCTTAACTGAGAACATTCCAATATTCATTCTACATAGTATTATTTTTAAAATACATATAAATACACAAAATCTTCCAGCAACCCACAATGCAACATGCTAGAGCTTCCTCCAAATGCTTAGGCAGTCGGTTTACAAGACAAATAACTTATTTATCAATAATTATTTAAACTCACCACCCGAAGGGCTACGTATTGTGATGGGCTTTACTTTGCGAGTGCTTCGACCAGAGTCATCATGCTTTGTCAGTGCAGATTTCCTTGGTGCACGTCGGCGGCGACGACGCAGGTATCGAGCAACGAGTCCTATCAATGCTAAACCAGTTCCTACGCTTATAATAACAATCTGAAACATAATTTGCATTTTAAAATAAAAAATAAATAGTTTATTCAATGATATTTTAGTTAATATTCTGTGTGCAAAATTGTTTTTTCTCACTTAATACTTCAGTATTTTAAAACTATTTGTATCTACTGTCAAAAGTTGATTTCTGCATAGTGGAAATATCTCCAGTACTTATGGACTGTCACAATTCAACAGACTATAACTAGAAACTACATACTGTACTGCACAATATATACAATAATAAATTTTATGCAATTTTTAACAAACCTCAAGATGCAATACTTTTAAATGCAGAATGATACTGTATATGAATGGAGAGATGCTCAAAAAAAAAGGAAATGCTGGTTATAATGCATATTAGACTAAACTTAGAATTTATTATGCAGCACTAATATGGGGCTTGTAAAGTAAAAACATATAAATTATTATTATAATCAGGAGGCAATGCTAGACCCATAAGTCATACAGAGCATCGTAAAATAGAGACAATCAAGTTCAATCTAAGGAATGGGTGGATAGGTTTCCTCGCTTGGGTCAACAGCCCATCACTGGTATCAACGGGACTAAAGAGGACTAAAATATGAAAGGTGAAATATGTTCAACAAAATGAAATTAACAGAGTTACAAAATATACGGTCATCCCTACAAATACATGGGGTTATGTTCCATGAAACTAAAAACCATAATACAAAATAAATTTGTTTCAGATATGTGTTTATTTTGTGTTCAATACAGTATATCAATCTGAACACAGAGCACAATTTGAATATCTTATGGTTAGTTTTCAGTTCAAGGGTCATGTGCTAAGCCAATAAATCCACAAATTGTTTAGTAATGACCAAATCTTACAAAGACTGGAACAGCTGGATATGCCATTACATTATTAACAAGCAAGAGGAAAAGAGGAGATATGATAACTACATATGAAAATTGCATAAAGTGATATAAGAAAATAAATATGCACAATAAGGAAGTGCTTAATAACAGTAACAGGGAGAACATTTGGCAATACACTAAGTTGCAAATTACAAAAAATGTGCAGAAAGGATAATAAGTTAAAGAGTATTTCATCAGAAACTGAAATGAACTCCAAGAGGATAGTTTATGTTCTAACCTGACCTCTCCATGCATGTCAAGACTTACAAGCACTAACACCCAGAATCTATGGCTAGAGAAATTGTTTTAGGTAATCTTCTATAGTTTTATTTGCAGGTCTCAGTAACCCAACTCTATTTTTCCCACAAGTTCTTCACGTCATGTACCACAGATTTCACAAAACTTAGTTTACAGGTATGTAATTATTGTGTTATCTGGGAGTCTACTTTATATCACTTTATTTACACAATGTTTAAGATTCAATGTATTACTTTAATATGTAACAACATAACATTTCCAATTCTAGTCATCACATCTTAAGAGGTGAAGAAGAATACCTCTCTCTTCTTTTATCAGCACAAACTGAATATTAAACTCTACACTACCTGTCAGCATTTAGAACAATTGCCTTATATGTACTATGGCTTCATTTCTACTCAATATTTTTATGCAAACTGAAGAAAAAAGAAAAATTACCAAAAATAAAAATTGCGTTAACAAACTGACATGCCACAGGTGATGATGTCATCAATACAAAGACTTAGTTTCTTATGAAAAATACAGACCAATATAAAACAGTTGCATGTTATTACAATGGACAGTAATTTTAGAAGATTCTTGCTTCCCAAAGTTTCAAGTACATTAAAAAAAATTTGTGAAAGCCAGCAATTCCTGCCCATAAACAATCTACTGAAACTAACCTTTTGAGGTCTTGAAAGGTTTTTTATGTAGCCTGATACAACAGAAGGAACAGCCAGACTTGACAGAGTTGGCAGTCGCAATAGTGGCATTTGTACTTTTGGGACAAGTTGAATATCTTCCATTGTTTCTCTGAAAATACAAAAACAAAATTTACTAAAGAAATTCCATAAAACTACAATTAGTACATGCTTTAGGTTTACATTACTTGCAGATTCATTTTACTGTACAGCTGAAGATATTTTTAAACAAAATACATATTGTTTTGGGTAGATGGTTGGAATATTTTGAGGAACTTTTAAATGTCAATGAAGGGAGGCGGTAATTTCATGCACTGGCCAGGGAGTTATAACATCTTTCAGGAGTGAAGAAGAGCAGGATGTGAGTGTGGGGGAGGTGCGTGAGGCATTATGTAGAATGAAAGGGGGTAAAGCAGCTGGAACTGATGGGATCATGACAGAAATGTTAAAAGCAGGGGGGGATATAGTGTTGGAGTGGTTGGTACTTTTGTTTAATAAATGTATGAAAGAGGGGAAGGTACCTAGGGACTAGCAGAGAGCATGTATAGTTCCTTTATATAAAGGGAAGGGGGACAAAAGAGATTGTAAAAATTATAGGGGAATAAGTTTACTGAGTATACCAGTAGAGTTATTATTGAAAGAATTAGAGGTAAGACAGAGAGTAGGATTGCAGATGAGCAAGGAGGCTTTAGAGTGGGGATGTGTAGATCAAATGTTTACATTGAAACATATATGTGAAAAGTATTTAGATAAAGGATGTCAAGTTTTCATTGCATTTATAGATTTAGAAAAGTCATATGACAGAGTGGATAGGGGAGCAATGTGGCAGATGTTGCAAGTGTATGGAATAGGTAGTAAGTTATTAAATGCTGTAAAGAGGTTTTATGAGGATAGTGAGGCTCAGGTTAGGGTGTGTAGGAGAGAGGGAGATTACTTCCTGGTAAAAGTAGGTCTTAGACAGGGATGTGTAATGTCATCATCGTTGTTTAATATATTCATAGATGGTGTTGTAAAAGAAGTAAATGCTAGGGTGTTCGGGAGAGGGGTGGGATTAAATTATGGAGAATCAAATACAAAATGGGAGTTGACACAGTTACTTTTTGCTGATGATACTGTGCTTATCGGAGATTCTAAAGAAAAGTTGCAAAGGTTAGTGGACGAGTTTGAGAGGGTGTGTAAGGGTAAAAAGTTGAAAGTGAACTTAGATAAGAGTAAGGTGATGAGGGTATCAAACCATCTAGATAAAGAAAAATTGGATATCACATTGGAGAGAGGGAGTATGGAAGAAGTGAATGTTTTCAGATATTTGGGAGTTGACTTGTCAGCAGATGGGTTTATGAAGGATGAGGTTAACCACAGAATTGATGAAGAAAAAAAGGTGAGTGGTGCATTGAGGTATCTGTGGAGACAAAAAACCTTATCCATGGAGGCAAAGAAGGGAATGTAAGATAGTACAGTGGAACCTCGGTATACGACCAGCTCCCTGTTCGAACAAAGCTCAGCACTTGACCAAATAAATATGACCTGCCCCAACTTCACTGTAAACTATTTTGTGTTTCTTCACTTTTTTGGTGTGTTTTTCTATTATTTGCATAAATAAAGTCACCATGGGGCCTACAAAGATTAGTGATAACAGCCAACTAAACAGAAAATTATGGTCGCAGACCGAGGTTCCACCGTATGGCGGTACCAACACTCTTATATGGGTGTGAAGCTTGGGTTGCAAATACAGCAGCGAGGAAGCGGCTGGAGGCAGTGTAGATGTCATGTCTAAGGGCAATGTGTGGTGTAAATAATATGCAGAGAATTTGGAGTGTGGAAATTAGGAGGAGGTGTGGAGTTATTAAAAGTATTAGTCAGAGGGCTGAAGAGAGGTTGTTGAGGTGGTTTGGTCATTTAGAGAAAATGGATCAAATTAGAATGGCTTGGAGAGCGTATAAATCTGTAGGGAAAGGAAAGCGGGGTAGGGGTCATCCTCGAAAAGGCTGGAGGGAGGGGATAAAGGTGGTTTTGTGGGCGAGGGGCTTGGACTTCCAGCAAGCATATGTGAGCGTGTTAGATAGGCGTGAATGGAGACGAATGGTTTTTGGGACCTGACAAGGTGTTGGAGTGTGAGCAGGACTTGAGTCCTGGAAATGGGAAGTACAATGCCTGCACTTTAAAGGAGGGGTTTGGGATATTGGCAGTTTGGAGGGACTTCTAAACTGTTGTATCTGAGGACCTCTGCAAAGACAGTGATTATGTATAAGTGAGGTGAAAGAGTTGAATGATGATGAAAGTATATTTCTTTTTGGGGATTTTCCTTCTTTTTGGGTCACCTGCCTTGGTGGGAGATGACCAATGTGTTGAAAAAAAATAAAACATACTGCACAGATACCCTGTACAGGAACCCCAATTGAAATCAGTTCAGTAGTTTTTGACTTTGTTGGGATATCCTACATGTGCTTTATATGTGCCTACATGTGTTTCTCCTCAAGATCACTGTAAAAAATTATGTAGAATATGTATGCAAAGTAGAAATAAAACTTGTTAAGATTAACTCTTCTCATCATGTCAAATTTATACATCTATACACACTGACTGTGTACTATGAAAAAAGTGAGTCATTATGAAAGAAAACTATTTCTAATTATGTAATCTTGTCAGGGAGCAAAACATTAAAATAGTTTTTGTTTCACATGAGTGTGAAACACAAGCCTGTTAAGAGTTTAGACTTTGGAAAGATTGCTGATCTTTTCTACATGTCTTATGGTATACAAGTTGGAAGATAAATCTGACAAACTTCTAACTCTAATGTTGTAGATTAATTATTGAATGACAGATTTTTCTTTCAGGTTTACTGAAATAGTGAAATGGACACTGCATATCAGAACATTATTATTGTATTCACAAGAAAGTGCTAAACAAAAGTGGATCATACAGCTGCATATCAGAGGAATAAAATGAATGCATACATAAACATATACAAGAAGTAAAATTAAGGTTAAGTACTGCTGTTTTTATATATCTTTATTTTTTTGAGAATCAGACTTTTACATTATTTCTAAAAAAAAAAAAACCATTACAGAATATATTACATAACAAAGATCAAAGGGCATTCCTAGGCCATGGGCTTGTAAAACCTTCAATTGTTTAGAAAGTAAAGTGTATACTGAATTAAGGCGGATATTTCTAGGATTTATTTGCAATCTTATGTTCATGAAACAAACAGAGTTTAAAGACCAACAATCCTGCAAGAGTTTTAAAAGAATTTAAGAGGATCCTGCTTGATGCTGATGTGACAGGATGACAGAGCCTCCATGAATGGTTGCTGTCTGCTAATCTGCTACCCACTGTTAAATGTGTCATCATTTACATAGCTATTAAAAGTTAAATTAGTTAATTTTCCTTCATGACTAAGCATAATATGAGTACATTCTTATGCAATAGTGTCCTGTAGCTCGATTGCTAATGTACTCAGCTCACACACTGAGGTCTGGAGTTCAAATCTCTGGTACGGCTGGAAAGCATTAGGCCGTGTTTCCATAAGACACCTGCTGTTGCAGTTCACCCATCAGTACAAAATGGGCACCTGGGTGTCAGTCGACTGGTGTGGATCACATCCTGGGACAAAACTGACCTAATTTGCCCGAAATGCTCTGAGCATAACAAGCGGCTTTCTATATAGTAGTATGTCATTGATGTCAGATACGCCTGTATACCTTGTACTTGTATTTGTATAAATAAAGATATTATATTGTACTAAACGGTATTACAAACACAAGTGTAATTTTTATAAAGGTTTTGAGGGTACACATGTTATAACTACATATGTTTGTATATATATTGCATGCATGCATGTGCATGTGTGTGGGTGCGTGCATGTATTTATGTGTGTGTGTATGTATACATATGTGTGTATGTATGCATATGTGTGTATGTATGCATGCATATGTGTATGTATGCATGCATATGTGTGTGTATGTATGCATGCATGTGTATGTATGCATGCATATGTGTGTGTATGTATGCATATGTGTGTATATATATTTATGAGTGATTGTATGCATGCATATGTGTCTATGCATGCGTGTACGTATGCATACATGTATGCATGCATGTGTGTACATGTGCATGTATGTATGCATGTGTATGTATGCATTCATGTGTGTACGTATGCATGCATGGGTGTACGTATGCATGCATAGGTGTATGTATGCATGCATAGGTGTACGTATGCATGTGAGTATGCATGCATGTATGCTTGCATGTATGTATGCATGCGTGTACGTATGTATGCATGCATGGATGCACGTATGCATACATGCATGTACATATCCATGCATGCGTGTACATATGCACGTATGCATTAATGTTTGTATGTATGCATGCATGTGTATATGTATGTATGCATGTGTGTATATGTATGTATGTATAAAATATTGACAAGAAATGTAAAGAAATATTTCCAAAATGTTTTACCCACCAGAGGCTTAATCAATCCAACTGATAAAAGCCACTGCTGGGCAAGACACTAATAATAATAGTTAATTAATGTTGCATTAGTCTGTCTTACATATTTTTCGATATTATATAAGAATATAGGAGTATATTTAATTTACCATAACCCAATAAAGACAAATAATATTACGCATTTCCACAGGAATAAAAAAAAAAAAAACTAAATACCACTTATTCATACAAAATAATCAGATTATAAAAGGAGATAAATACTCTTATAACCTAAACTGATGTTTTTTACAAATACAGCAAAAATAATTATTTATTTTAATAAACTTCATCACAAGACAAGACTTGCCAAGTGAACGTAAACATCAGCTGGCAGTGTTTCAAGTAGCTCATTTTGACTATACAAACACATAAATTAGCCTGCGAGAGGCACAATCACTTAGATATAACCCTCGCAAGCCACACCTTAACTAGTAATGAGGCTGTTAGGGTGACAAAGACAGACAAACTCAGCAGATTGCACTGAAAATCGCGCGATCCCAGACGTCACTCACACACATAAACAAACACCGGTGAGACCAGCTGATACCACGGCCCATCATCTTTACAATTAAACTAATAAAAACTAAATAAGTAAGTGAATAAGCAAGTAAGTGAGTAAGTAAGTTTATTTAGGCACAGGTAAATGTAAGTACAATTGTCATATATAGTGAAATTACCCAGGATAATCCCCTCAAAAAGTCGAAGTGACTTTTTCCATTGGGGATCCTTGTAATGTCTAATTATATAAACCTTAATTGCTTCTTTTTGATTATATTATTAATAATATAAACATTAAAAGATAAAACAGTTAAGTAATTCAACTGTGTGAAATTCACTTATAATAAAAGGAGATATACTAGGAATAAGGTAATGCAAGTTATTTACGTTAAGGTTAAAGAGATAAGCTTACTATAATTATTGTATACTTAACATTCGTGTACCTATTATAATAGGTACACGAATGTTACCTATACAAGAAATCACTCTCCTCTCTTTCTGAAGCTTCATTCATTAGGTACCTTTGACTCTCTTCCTGAACTAGCTTATGTTAGAACAGACTTTGACATATGCTGGCAATCTATTCCACTCTTTTATTTAATCCTACGGGTTTCGCGCACCCCCATTTTTATAATAATTATAATAACCCTCTTCTATTGCTGTACAATAAAAGGTGTTTGAGGCCTGACCACCTACTGTAGGTAATAGAGAGAGAGAAAGGTACTATAAATTTGTGTTCACTTTCCCTAGTGAAGGTTAAGACACATGTGCAACATCCAGTGGCTTTATCATTACAGATTCTAGGGCATAATTAGAAGACAGTAGAACTATATACAAAAGATGAGGTAATCAGTCCCTCAGCCTTGGAGTTAGTGTTCACAGCATCGTGGTGGTAGAGATTCTGGAGCAAAGGCAAGGTGACTGGCGTTTATATAGGCGTCAGTGGATAGGGACGTGTAGCAGACGAGGGCATAGTCACTGGTAGGAGGGATTCCCCAGTGGAAGTAGGTCATACCCAGAGGGATGGGTTACTTGTAGCAGCCGTGAAGAAAGTCTTGTAGATGTCCTCTGAACCAAGATTCCATGATGTTGCAGTGTCTGACAAGTTGTGCAAGAAATGAATAAAATGCCGACAAGATGAAAGTTAAGATACATGTGCAACATCCGGTTATCTTTATTGTAGACATTTCGCCATCTAGTGGCTTTATAAGTACAGACACTGTCAGATACTGATACATCATGGAATCTTGGTTCAGAGGACATCTACAAGACTTTTTTCACGGCTACTACAAGAAACCCATCCCTTTGGGTATGATAGCATGGATAATGAAAACATTCAAAACTAGGGACGCCAAGCCAATGATGATCATCTTCAAATCGCTTGTTCTCTCTAGGCTGGAGTACTGCTGTACACTAATGGCCCCTTCAAGGCTGGATACATTGCAGACCTGGAAAGCGTACAGAGGGCTTTCATAGCACACATAAGAACGATAAGGCACCTAAATTACTGGGAACGGTTGAAGGTCCTTAATCTGTATTCCCTGGAATGCAGGCGAGAGAGATACATGATAATATACACTTGGAAGGTTCTGGAGGGATTGGTACCAAACCTGCACACGAAAATCACTCCCTATGAAAGCAAAAGACTCAGCAGGAGATGCAGCATTCCCCCGATGAAAAGCAGGGGCGCCACGGGTACACTGAGAGACAACACAGTAAGTGTCCGGGGCCCAAGACTGTTCAACTGCCGCCCAGCATACATAAGGTATATTACTAATAGACCTCTGGCTGTCTTCAAGAAGGCACTGGACAGGCACCTAAAGTCAGTACCTGACCAACCGGGCTGTTGTTCGTACGTTAGTTTGCGTGCGGCCAGCAGTAGCAGCCTGGTTGATCAGACCCTGATCCACCATGAGGACTGGTCTCAAACCGAGCCTCGGGGGCATTGATCCCCGAAACCATCTCCAGGTAAACCTTTCATCCCCCACTGGCGCTGTATAATACTACGGGTTTAGCGCCCTCCATGATTATAATAAATAATTTATTTATTTATTAACGTACAAAGATTTTTATTCTATTTAAAGTGCTAATTTGTGGAAATAAGTCATTTCACACTGTTGGTTAATGTATACAATAAGAAAAAATTACATAAGTTACCTAACAAAAAGTATTAGTTTTCTATTGTACACGTATAAAAGAAAGCGAATGTTTTAGGATAGACTTTAAATTACAACATAAATTGATTTTTCTTTATTAGGTTATTGTAGGTTAAATGTAAATAAAATATTATGTGTGCCTTTATCATCTATGTACCCGTAAGATTAACATATAAAAAAAATAGTATGCTATATATATAATACTTAAATCATTTAAAGGACCCCAATGGAAATAAGTCACTGTGTCTGACTTTTTTGGGTTATCCTAAGTTCTCTACACATATACTGCTATGTATGATAATTCTATGTAACTGTATTTGTGTATACCTGAATAAACTTACTTACTTACTATTTTACTTGTTAAATATTTTCCTTAAGTTATACCTTGAAAAAAGAACCGTTTTCTGTATCAAAATAAAATAAGAAAACGTATGTTTAAGGATAGACTAAAATATAAATTTGCTTGATAACGAAATTAAGTAAGTTTATTCAGGTATACACACATACAGTTACGTAAATTATCATGCGTAACAGCATATGTGTAAAGAACCAAGGATAACACAAAAAAAGTTAAAGTGATTTATTTCCATTGGGGTCCTTCCTTCCTAAGTAGGAAACCGTCGCATCAATCATTAAATATCTGTCTCATCAGATATATATAATGGGTAAAGTGGTTAAAACTGTGACCATAATTTTTAAAAGGGTGGACCGGTAAGCCAGCGGATGACCAAAAGCTCCAACGGCGGGCCATCATCTAAGACCCGTTTCCTGACGATCCTTACCTAACCTTATCAGATATTGTAATGTATCTTAGGCAAGATTCACGGGATTATTGGCATGCATGGCTGCTTTGTCCACAATGCTACATAGGTCATTCCCAAATTTTGTTTCTGTGTGATAGGTGGAGACAGCCTCCTATTCTCGGCTATAGAATTTCAAGAATATTTTATCCTAAAAAGAAGCTTGGTATATTTAACGTAGTGTGTAGATGCCATTTTGTCACTTTTAATCTCAAAATGAATGTAATAATCTCAAAACAATACAATAAGGTATTATTTTTACCTTATTGCATCGAATTTGAATGCCTCCCATTCTACAGGTGCTGCATGACCCTACGGGTATAGCGCTTTCCTTTTAGTCTCTAATGATACCTAACACTGAATTTCAACACACTCCCTTATATCGTTGACGTGCTTGTAGTTATTGCATCGTTACTGCAACTAATCTTTAAGTATTGCATCATAAATCAGCTCTGGATGCATGCTCTTATCAAATACTTTTATCTATATTCAAAGGATATCTTAATTGTTAGTTCATGACTGAGCTTCACGATGACACTACAACCATGTCTGGCGATTCATGTTTCACGGAAGTAGTTTTTTGTCTGAATACTTTAGTCTCTGATCTAAAACACTCACACACACACACACACACACACCCGGGGCCACGAGCTCGGACTCGACCCCCGCAACCTCAACTAGGTGAGTACATACACACACACACACACACACACGTGATAAAGCTCATGGAGGAGAGTGGACCTAGTGGCGACCAGTGAGGAGGCGGGGACAGGAGCTATGAATCGACTCCTGCAACCACAATTAGGTGAGTACGCACACACAAGCAAACACACACACATTTCGTCACGTTGAGCAGAAACATAGGATGTGTTCAGAATTAAAAAAAAAAAACTTTCTTAAATAATAACTATTTATTGTGAAAGTATACAGTGGAACAAAACAAAATAATAATAGTTTTATATATTTCGGTATTGCACTGATGCCCTCTTCAGGCAGATATAAATAATACTCGTTAAGCTTTATTTTCTTCATTCGGACTCTTTTGTGCCATTGGCCACCATTTATTACACTTGTGTTTAGAGACACCATTAATATTTTTCCACACTGCTTACATATCTCGTCAAATGACTTCAAGTAGTTGATTTCAATAAACATTTATATATTTTTAAATCTCAGTCTGTGCAACTGAGCATAAATATATAGTTAATATATATAAATTAACCTGACAAGACAAGAATTTGTGTCCAGACAAGTTCTTTCTCGCAGACGTCTACGCTAGGCAGAGAGTACTTCAGGTGAGGCTACGTGGCCAGCCTCTGGAGGGAGGCGGGGGTCCTCTGGCATGATTTCCTTACTCTAACAATCTGTTAAACAAAAATGTTGCTCGAGTTTAAATGTTTTCTGTGGAACTATATTGATTTAATGAAGAGAGAACCTAATGCCCGTTTTCTGTAACATTTCAAAGCCGACATTTTTCCTGAATTTGCTTAAAGTGGATTTTTAACACCGTATGAGAATCTCAGTCATGGATATCTAGACAAAGATGGGATTAGTGTGAGGTCTGCTCCCCGCATCCACCCTCCACAGGCTAGACGTAGCTGGCCCCATGCTAGAGTTTAAAGCGCCGTGGTGGAGGGTAAATGGTAGTTAACTGGACCTCCAGGTTGCGGGAGCCCGTGGCTCGCTGGTGATGGTTGTCATTGTCACCATGGCCTCCACTTCGGTCTGAATATGCGTTTCTATTTCTGCCGTCGTAAATATTTTTCTCTTCGTAGACTGCGCTTCTTGCTTGCTGGACCCCCAGCCTACTCTCTCGGCCGTTCCTGCCTTCAGGATTACCTAGTCTCTTCTCCCGAGCTCCTCCCTTGTTTTCTGCAGCGCCAGCACCACCGCTTCCAGTAATACCTGTCACTGACGTCTTCTTGGGCACCAGTGGAGGTGGTCCATCTTCCAGTTCAAGCTGTTTAACAGAGAAAATTATTACTAATAATGATAAAAAAGCCACTATTACCGTAGATAAAGCACCACGACCTTTAATCGTACAATATGGTCTTCACAGATTGGCTCAGCATCAACAGTCACCGTTTTGTCGGAAATTTGTGGAGATTTACATACCTATGCATTATGGGTAAGAGTCAGCTCTCAGTGAAAGCAAAATATAAATTAAAATATCGTCACTGTTATACGTTTGACGAGCACATTAGCATTAATTATACTTGGAGAAGGTTTCGGGGGTCAACGCCCTCGAGGCCTGGTCTGTGACCAAACCTCGCGGTGGATCAGGGCCTGATCAATCAGGCTGTTACTACTTGCCGCACGAAACCGATGCACAAACCACAGCCCGGCTGATCAGGTACTGATCAAATGATTCTAAAGTTTCTATAGGGAGTCTGGGTCTATGCAGTTTTCTCCGATTTTAGTTTAGGCTGCCCGTGTTTGAACTTAGAATAAAGCTGGACCTACAGAATTTTTTTATTGGCAGTCATATACAAACGCAGAAAATGAAGCTAAAACGTACTTGTGTGTGCATTGTGGTAATGGAGTCGAGATTGTTGTCTTTCTCGGTGTCTTGCACTGATGCAGTGGGCAGAGAGCCGAATTCGAGCGTTCTTTCCTGTAAGTAAAAAGAGGTTATCTTAGGACACCACTTGGTAATGATCGTTTGATTTCTAAGTGGCGTGTAAATCCTAGACGAGGCAAGCCAGCAGATGCTTCATCACTTAAATGTAATTATCACTTAACGTCTAAGGTCTGTGAATGTATTTTAGTGTACGTGTAAGTACAGTGTATTTCTTGCTGATATCGGTAAGCTACACATTTATATTTCTTTAAATACATTTTTATTACTTTGCCTGTTATTATTATATTTCCTTGAAGCACTAAACACTTATGGATTATACCACGCTTGCTCATTAAGGCATAAACTCTATGTGAACATTAAAATGGTATAAAATACCGACAGATTGTTAGGTAAGACACATATGCAACAGTTAGGTATCTTTATTTCGAAACGTTTCGCCTACACAGTAGGCTTCTTCAGTCGAGTACAGAAAAGTTGATAGAAGCAGAAGATACTTGAAGACGATGTAATCAGTCCATCACCTCAAAACTTTAAGGGTGATGGACTGATTACATCGTCTTCAAGTATCTTCTGCTTCTATCAACTTTTCTGTACTCGACTGAAGAAGCCTACTGTGTAGGCGAAACGTTTCGAAATAAAGATACCTAACTGTTGCATATGTGTCTTACCTAACATAAACTCTATGTACAATAAGATGCAAGCGAACACAGGATTTACATTTATGATATTAGGGAAGAATCCAGTTAACGTACAACGCAAACGAAGAACTGGGAAAAGTTCATTAAGATTCTGGCTGGCTAGTGTTTTTTTGTTTACCAAAACAAACAGTCTTCATTATAAATCTTTTTCTTTTAGAGCATGAACTATATTTGTACTAGAAAAAAAGTCTATCTTATAGATACCAGAACAAAGATTGGAAGTGTATTGCGCGTCAAGGTTAATAAGGACCACAACAATGTTATAAACAAAAATATTAAAAAGAGATTCTTTGGCATTAGTCCAATTTAAAATAAATGAACAAAACCATTGTCATAAAATATTTATTCTGAATTAGTCTACTGAGAAGTTTCTCATTCTATTAATAATTCAGTCCCATTAGCACCAACCTGAGAGTCATTGCTATAGTTAATGTCGCCGAAGTATCTGGATGGAAGGCGAAGTGATCTGCCAGAGGTCCTGGAGACAACTGAGGAGCTAGAAAGAAGTGTGTGGGAGCTGACTAGCGGTGCCACGGAACGGCACTGGCACACTTCATGATTCACTGGGTCTACACACCCTGGCACCACCAGCCCAGCTGACAGTAGCTTCTTTACCTTGTGGGGGTAACGGATAAATAAAATGCATTAAGAAAGGAGATAGTGGAGGCCAACTCAAGACAGGGATTCAAAGGTAGATATAATAAGGTTATGTAATCAAAGTACAAATGCTCAGGCCAAGAGCTAGGAATAATATCTAGGCAGATAGCTAAGTGAACAGGGGCAACAGGTCTACGGAAATATGCACAATATTTCCACTCTTCCCTGGTTCACATCAGAGTCCTTCAAGGATGAGCCACAAAGCACCCATGAGCCACGAGCCCAATGTGGCTCCATATGTGAGCGAACCACTGACCTTTCTTCTCTGCTTCATGAAGCTGCTGTAGAGGATGGCACACACCACCAGCAGGATAATGACCAGCGCCGCCAGGATGATGGAGAGCACAAACCAGCCCTGCACAGGCATCAAGAACCAGTTTGTGTCATAACACGTCGGTGGCTGAGTCGTCTCGTACGTCCTTGGTTCGTAGTCCATTTCAGCGATTGTCTCCTTGACGTACCTTAGGGGTAACGGATTATCAGAATCAAGAAAAGCGCTAAACCCATGAAAACCAGACAGCGCCTCAATCTGACCTGGGAAAGTCGAGTGTAAGAGCTTGTCAGTGAGGACATACTAAGTTCAGTTAGGTTTCAACAGTGTCGGCTACACCCATGTTACTGGGGTTGTATTTCACCTAAACACCAACTAAGATTATTTGATTTGAAAAAAAGAAAAAAAACATTAAAATAGAGTATATACAACGATAAACATACACGTATTGGTGTATATATATATATATATATATATATATATATATATATATATATATATATATATATATATATATATATATATATATATCCTGTCGATAAGTTCAGTGAAAAATTAATATATTTGAGGGCTTAATGATAACTCATTTTAAATCAAAATGAAATGAACATATCGCCAGAATATTAAATAAGATCAATGATTTAAAGATAAGATGTGAACCTCGCCTCAGTCTGGTCTGGCCTGACTTATCTTACCTGTCTTAAACAAAAAAAAAAACCTCCCCAGGTAAAAGAGTAAAAAAAACTGATTTGAATCCCACATTTGAACCTCTGAAGTAGTTATTATATATAATTAATATACACTGAGGGATGAAGAAATTCTAAGAGACACTCCATGGAAGAAGTAAGTAACTAGCAAACTAACTTTGGGGTGATGGTGGACCGGTCTTCCTGGAAGGGTCCGAGAGGCAGTTCTTGCCCAGCTGGCCGCCTGGTTGTTATTCTGAAACACAAACATAAGATTCAGGAAATGTGATTTTACAGACACACACACACACACACACACACACACACACACACACACACACACACACACCACACACACACACACACACACACACACACATATATATATATATATATATATATATATATATATATATATATATATATATTATATATATATATATATATATATATATATATATATATATATATATATATATATATATACAGTGGTCCCTCGTTTTTCGTAATTAATCCGTTCCTGGAGGAGCTACTATAAACGAAATTTACGATTTGCGAATCAATTTTCCCCATAAGAAATAATGTAAATACAATTAATCCGTTTCTGACACTCAGAAGTATTAAAACAAAAAAATTTTTTACATGAAATATACATGTAGTACATAAACAATACAATGGGAAATAATAAATGAAACATTAACAGCATAACACTTACCTTTATTGGAGATTCTTCTTAGTGTATGGGAGACTGGAGGAGGAGAGAGATTGGATTGTTTACAGTTTGGAAGGGGAATCCCCTTCCAGCAACACCTCAGGTACCAATTGCTTCTCTGGGGTTGCTTCTCTTCTCTGTTTCTTAATGCCACTAGGACCACCTTGAGAGTCACTCTAGTCCTGTCTCGCAAAGTAACTGTGGAGAGAGCTCTGTTTCTGGCGTCTCCCTCTCTGTTTCTGGCGTCTCAGATGAGTGTGTATAAATAAACGTGTACATGTATGTGTAGTGTGACCTAAGTGTAAGTAGAAGTAGCAAGACCTACCTGTAATCTTGCATATTTATGAGACAGACAAAAGACACCAGCAATCCTACCATCATGTAAAACAATTACAGGCTTTTGTTTTACATTCATTTGGCAGGACGGTAGTACCTCCCTGGATGGTTGCTGTCTACCAACCTACTACCTGTATATATATATATATATATATATATATATATATATATATATATATATATATATATATATAGGGAGGTACCACCTCTAGAACTGTCCTGGGGACCCTCATCCTCAGAGAAAAGAATAAACTTGCTTCAGGGAAAACTCAAGGTTCTCCCTGAAGCTGTTTGAGAATTTTCTCCTACCACCCCCTACGTTTAATATGTATTTTATTTAAAGACAAAATACATTGACAAAACATTCACAAAAATACAATAGAAAGTAAAACAATATAGGTTACTCAGAGCTACATCTCGAATACTTCGTCCAGCTCCCCGGTGGGCTGCGTGCCCAGAATGCTGCAGGCATTTCCTCTCCTGATCGAAACACTGAGTCTCTGAAAGAGGAAGCTGGTCGCCCTGTGGTCCTTGGTTTCTATGATGAGCTTTCCACCCAGCTCTTTGAGGAACTTTAGAGCACACTTGCCCCATGCTCCAAGGGTCTTCGACCCTATTGGGATGAAGTTATAGCAAGGGGGAAGGTCTTCATATTTGCGGGTCTAGCTTCCTAATGAAAGTATTATTCCAAACTGGAGATAACGTTTAGCCGAGAGAATTGCTGAAAGAAAATCAGAGCAAATATTTTGTATTACCCAGATTCGCCTTTACAAGAGGCTTGTTCAAGTTAATAAAAAAAGACTTTTGTTTCGATAAAAAAAAACTGCATATTCTGTACATCTATTTTAACCATGCACGTAAATGCCGACTGAAATGCGAATCACGAAGTGCCTACCTGACGAAGGGTTTCTGCGAGTGCCTGTATGGGGTACGCTGAAGGGGAGGTGGAGAATATACTTCACCAGCTACGAACTGGTAAGAGCTGCCGTCAGGTCTGGTGTATCCGCCTACTGGGAGAGAGAAAGCCACGGTAAATAAAGATTAACTTGGAATGCTGATAAATGGTTCAAAGAACCGACAAGTTGATAGATAAGACGCATGTACAGTACTTGGTATCTCACATGTGTTTAATTTATCAAAGATTAACTTGCAGCCGGTTATAAGTATCGAAATCATGTAGTGCGAGGACTAATTTAATCGTTTATCACAACAGTAATGCTTTCTTGGTTTATGTATCAATCACGGCGAAGCCAGCGCACCTGGTTGTCTGTTGGGCCCCCGCGACGGGGGGGTTTCTTTTTGCCCTGAGACTTGGTTGTAGTCTCCACCAGCAGCAACCCCAGTTCGGTGACCGATTTGGGTCGCCGACCCCGACTGGGTGATGGAAACCCAAGAGGTGTGAGGGGGGAGGTAAGAGTCGCCTGTCGAGACCAGTTCTAAAAAAGGTTCTAGGGAGTGAATTACTACGCGAAAAAACCCCCTACGGTTTATATCGCACATGGGAGGGGGGGGTAGGGAAAGGGTTTTTCAGACTCAGTTCGGGGAAAGGGAAACACAAAACCAGTTCCCAAAATCAAGAGCCCCCAAAAGCGTAAAGGGGAACCTCCCTTTGGGAAGGGGACAAAGGACCCAAAAGGGGCCCGAGTGTGGATAGTCTAGGTGACGAATTCATACCTAATTTGTGAACTAGTTAAGTTTTTTTTAAAAATTTGATTTAAATAAGCAGGTCACATTATAGGGTTTAACTGGGCCGGTACTATTTCTTTAAACATGAAGGCTAAATATCACTTTAAACTTAGATAAATAACATGAAAATTTAGAGGTCTCATAAATTTTTTAATTTTTTCTAAACGGTCTTTCACTGTATTAGAAATAGAAAAATTTACAGGAAAACCTCCCACTGTTCCTGTTTTTGGGTTTCCAGGGGAAATGAAGTCAGTGAGGCATTTCAAAAAAATTAAGGGACGCCCCTCACGTTCATTTTTTAAAAATTTCTCAGATCACGGTTTAAATTTTAAACGACAAAACCCTTTGGGTTCCTAAAAGGACAATATAAGACAATTTTTTTGGTGTTCCCGTACTTAAACGTTTTGGAGCGGCTTTAAAAACGTTTTCTGAAACTGAAATGATGTTATAATCTTAATTAAACAGATTTTTAAATGCAGGTTGATGATTTTTTTGGGTTTCCAAGGCGGGTTTAACGGGGAAAATTGTTTGGGTTTAAATCTTAAAAGTGTGAAGGGGGCTTTTCCCCGGAAAGGATAAATTTACTGAGTGATGAATCACCTGTGAGCGAAAATTTTTCCTTGTGTTTAAACGGGGAAACCTGTCTCTCACCGGTAAAAGGGACAGGTTTGGGGTTTTTAAAATTAGCTAAAAGCTTTAAATGACAGGTTTCCTGTGAGTCCCGGGCCCCGGGTACATTGTACTTGTCCTCTCCCCCCCGGTTATGTCCTGGGTGAGGTTGGGGGGTGGGGGAGGTGGGTGGGATGTGGTGAGGTTTCTTGGGCGTGGGTTTCCCCACTTTCAGGTTTTAAAAGTACTCATTTCTTCACTACAGAGAAATTATTAAAAAAGAAATTTAGTTTTACATTATTATTTTTATTAATTTTTTATTTTTATTTTTTTATTATTATTTTTATTATTTTTATTTTTATTTTTTTTTTTTTATTTTTTTTTTATCCACCCGGGCCATTCCCACCAAGGCGGGTGGGCCCCAAAAGAAAAAAAAATTTTAAACCCTCATTCACTCCCCTCACTGGGCTTGCCCGAAGGGTGGGTTTACACTACAGTTTTTTTTAAAATGAAAAAATTTTAAAACCCCCCCTTCAGGGTTTCAGGGATGTTTCTTCCCTCCCCCAGGGGGCTCAAGTCCGGCCCGCCGGGTTTCCCCGAATAAAATTTTAATTGGGTTTCTTTGCTCACACCCCAACAGCACGTCAAGTATTTTAAAAAACCTTTTTTTTCCTTTTACTCCTATCAAACACGCTTTACGAAAGCCTGCCCGGGAAGTCCAAGCCCCCCGCACACAAAACCTCCCTTTTCCCCCCCCCCCAACCCTTTTCCCAGGCCCCAAACCCCTAAACCCCCTTCCCTTTCCCCTACAGAATGAAAACACTCTTGAAGTCATTTTGTTTTGCTCCATTCTCTTACATGTCCGAACCAAACCCAAAAAACCTTCCTCAGCCCTTGGACAAAAAGTTTTTTTTAATCCCGCACCTCCTCCTAACTTCCAAACTAACCCAATTCTCTGCATTATATTCACAACCCCAAAAATTGCCCCCGACATTACATCTCCCCTGCCCCAGCCTTTTTCCTCGCTGGGAAAAATTCATCCCCCCCACGCTTCACAACCCCTATAAGAGCGTTTGGTAAAACTATACCTTATACATTCCCTCTTTGCCCCCAAAGGGACAAAGTTCTTTGTTTCCACAGACTCCTAAGTGCACCACTCACTTTTTTTTCCCTCATCAATTCTATGTTTTCACCTCATCTTTCATAGACCCATCCGCTGACACGTCCACTCCCAAATATCTGAATACGTTCACCTCCTCCATACTCTCTCCCTCCAATCTGATATTCAATCTTTCATCACCTAATCTTTTTGTTATCCTCATAACCTTTACTCTTTCCTGTATTCCCCTTTTAATTTTCTTCTTTTGCACACCCTAAACCAAATTCATCCACCAATCTCTGCAACTTCTCTTCAGAATCCCCCAAGAGCACAGTGTCATCAGAAAAAGAGCAGCTGTGACAACTCCCACTTGTGTGTGTTTTCTTTATCTTTTAACTCCACGCCTCTTGCCAAAACCCTCGCATTTACTTCTCTTTCAACCCCATCTATAAATATATTAAACAACCACGGTGACATCACACATCCTTGTCTAAGGCCTACTTTTACTGGGAAAAAATTTCCCTCTTTCCTACATACTCTAACTTGAGCCTCACTATCCTCGTAAAAAAATCTTCACCTGCTTTCAGTAACCTACCTCCTACACCATACACTTGCAACATCTGCCACATTGCCCCCCTATCCACACCCCGTCATACGCCTTTTCCAAATCCATAAATGCCACAAAGACCTCTTTGCCTTATCTAAATACTTTCACTTATATGTTTCACTGTAAACAACCCGGTCCACACACCCCCTACCTTTCCTAAAGCCTCCTGTTCATCTGCTATCCTATTCTCCGTCTTACTCTTAATTCTTTCAATTATAACTCTAAACCCTACACTTTACCAGGTACACTCAACAGACTTATCCCCCTATAATTTTTGCACTCTCTTTTATCCCCTTTGCCTTTATACAAAGGAACTATGCATGCTCTCTGCCAATCCCTAGGTACCTTACCCTCTTCCATACATTTATTAAATAATTGCACCAACCACTCCAAAACTATATCCCCACCTGCTTTTAACATTTCTAATCTTTATCCATCAATCCCGGCTGCCTTACCCCCTTTCATTTTTACCTACTGCCTCACGAACTTCCCCCACACTCACAACTGGCTCTTCCTCACTCCTACAAGATGTTATTCCTCCTTGCCCTATACACGAAACACAGTTTCCCCTATCTTCATCAACATTTAACAATTCCTCAAAATATTCCTTCCCATCTTCCCAATACCTCTAACTCCCCTTTTTAATAACTTCCTCTCCTAATTTTTAACTGACAAATCCATTTGTTCTCTAGGCTTTCTTAACTTGTTAATCTCACTTCCAAAACTTTTTCTTATTTTCAACAAAATTTGTTGATAACATCTCACCCACTCTCTCATTTGCTCTCTTTTTCATTGCTTCACCACTCCTTATTTTCTCTCTTTTTCTCCATATACTCTTCCCTCCTTGCATCACTTCTATTTTGTAAAAACTTCTCATATGCTAACTTTTTCCCCCTTACTACTCTCTTTACATCATCATTCCACCAATCGCTCCTCTTCCCTCCTGCACCCACTTTCCTGTAACCACAAAACTTCTGCTGAACACTCTAACACTACATTTTTAAACCTACCCCATACCTCTTCGACCCCCATTGCCTATGCTCTTTTTTAGCCATCTATCCTCCAATAGCTGTTTATATCTTACCCTACTGCCTCCTCTTTTAGTTTATAAAACCTTCACCTCTCTCTTCCCTGATGCTTCTATTTTCCTTGTATCCCATCACCTTTTACTCTCATATAGCTAACAACTAGAAAGTGATCTGATATATCTGTGGCCCCTCTATAAACATGTACATCCTGAAGTCTACTCAACAGTCTTTTATCTACCAATACATAATCCAACAACTACTGTCATTTCGCCCTACATCATATCGTTTTATACTTTTTTATCCTCTTTTTCTTAAAATAAGTATTACCTATAACTAAACCCCTTTCTATACAAGTTCAATCAAAGGCTCCCATTATCATTTTCACCTGGCACCCCAAACTTACCTACCACACCCTCTCTAAAAGTTTCTCCTACTTTAGCATTCAAGTCCCCTACCACAATTACTCTCTCACTTGGTTCAAAGGCTTTCCCATACATTCACTTAACATCTTCCCAAAATCTCTCTCTTCCTCTGCATTCCTCTCTTCTCCAGGTGCATACACGCCTATTTGACCCACTTCTCGCATCCAACCTTTACTTTAATCCACATAATTCTTTAATTTACACATTCATATTCTCTTTTCTCCTTCCATAACTGATCATTTAACATTAAATGCTACCCCTTCCTTTGCTCTAACTCTCTCAGATACTCCAGATTTAATCCCATTTATTTCCCCCCACTGAAACTCTCCTACCCCCTTCAGCTTTGTTTTCGCTTAGGGCCAGGACATCCAACTTCTTTTTTTTCATAACATCAGCAATCATCTGTTTCTTGTCATCCGCAAATAAAATCCACGCACATTTAAGCAACCCAGTTTTATAAAGTTTTTCTTCTTCTCTTTTTTAGTAATTGTATACAGGGAGAAGGGTTACTAAGCCCATTGCTCCCGGCATTTTTAGTCGCCTCATACGACACGCATGGCTTACGGGGAAAGATTCTTTTCCACTTCCCCATGGACAATAGAAGAAATAAAAAAGAAAAAGAGCTATTTTGAAAAAAGAGAAAAACCTAGATGTATGTATATATTAATAAAGCATGTGCGTGTCTGTGAAGTGTGACCAAGTTAATAGGGGTAGCAAAAATCCCTGTTATCTTTGCGTGTTTACAAACAAAACCTTTTGGGGGGCAAAATTTCCATCCCAATTTTAACCCCTTTAATTTAAAAGGGATTGAAAAACCCCAAAAAAGGGAACCTGGACAAACATCTTTTTAAAAAAATTTAAAATTTTTTTTTGTTTAAAAAAAATTTTAATTTTTTTTCCCCTTAAAAATTTTAATTTTAAAAAAAATTTTAAATTAAAAAATCTTTTAAACCCAAATTTTTACCCCCCACCCTTTTCCCTTTTTGTTAAGTTCCCCACAATTACCCCCTTTTTGGTTAAAGGTTAAAATACCCTCCCAAAACCCCCCTTTCCGTTTTTTTGGGAAAAAAAATTTTTTTATAAAAATTAAAAATTTTTTTTCTAAAAAACTTTTCCTTTTTCTTTTTAAAATAAATTTTTTTAAACTTTTTCAATTTAAATTTTTGTTTTTTTTTTAAAATGATTTTTAAAAAAATTGGTTTTTTGGAAAAATAATTTTTTTTTTAGGAAATTCCTGTATTAAAAAACCGAAAGGGTAAGGGGGTAAAATTTTTACTTTAATTTTTTAGGGAAAGGGAATTAGACTTTCCCCGGGTTTTTTGGGGGGGTTGGGGGGGGTTGGGGAGGATTTTTTTGGGGCCCCCGGAAAAATAAAACTTTTAAAAAAAAAAAAAAAAAATTGAAAATTTATTAAAAATTTTTTTTATTTTAAAATTTTATTTTTTTTTAATTTTTTTTTTTATTTTTTTAAAACAAAAAACCTTCCAGCGATATAATATCCAAATCGAATCAAAAATTGTCCTATAATTAACATCTGGAGTGTTTGTGAAACTGGCTTTTAATTTAATCAATTTAAAAGGGTATCTAATTATATCAGATGCAGGTAAAGTATCACATAATGAAAGATAAGACATCTTACTAACCTCCTGAGTGGGTGGATGGTGGGTGGAGGTTGTGGTAAGGTTGTTGAGGTTGCTACGGAGGTGTGTCTGGAGGCAGGAGGAAGTAACTTCGATGGCCGAAACTGTGGCCTTTGTGATTGTGGCCCCAGAGAGGATTCGTTAGGTCCCTGAGGGCGGAGTTGAAGGCCATGGGGGCGTAGTTGATAGCCCTGCAGAAGTGGTTCTTGTCCCTGGGGTAGGGGTTGAGGTCCCTGTGGACGTAGTTGATAGCTCTGTAGGAGTGGTTCTTGTCCCTGGGGTACGGGTTGAGGTCCCTGTGGACGTAGTTGATAGCTCTGTAGGAGTGGTTCTTGTTCCTGCGGGAGGGGTTGATGTCCTTGAGGGAGTGGTTGATGCCCCTGGGGGCGTGGTTGAGGTCCTTGGGGGTGTGGTTGCTGTACATTTGGTCGTGGTGGAGGTGCTACAGGTGAGGTAGCCCCGGGAGACAGAGTGGGGTGGACAGGGTTGTAATACTTGACAGGTTCTCTGGGTATAAGGTGACTGCGCTTGTTATGAACTTCAGGTTCCCTGAAATTCACGATAGTCTTTTCTAATTTGCTGCTTTCCCTGGACTGTTTGCGTATCATTGTAAGTGGGCAACTGTACATGTGCTCACGCACTTTTACTCACACATGTAGGCAGTGGCGGACCTACATTTTTGGGGCCCTGAAGTTTGAACTGTAATGGGAACCCCTTCTCATACAGTAGACCCAAAAGTTTTAAGCAATGTGGACTAAAGTCGCTTCTGGGGCCCCTCCGGGATTAGGGATCCTGAAGCAAAAGCTTCATTAGTCTCTTAGCAGATCCGCCACTGCATGTAGGTAAACAAGCAGGTACACACAAACATACGAGTGACATGGAAAAAATTACAAAATACATCCAGTGACACACAGGGGCGCTAAGGTGACAACCAGAAAACTACTGTGTCGACATACGTCGGTCAAGAGGATTCAACCTGATACCAGCACATATAATAAAAAAAAATATTGTCGGAACAAGCGTAGATGTTTTCAAGAGGAAACTAAATCACTACCTCTGCTAAGAGTAAGATTAACCAGGATCTTGGTTATGTGGGCCAGCGGACCGCCAGCGGCAACAGCCTGGTTGAACAGGCAATGAAGAGAAAAACCTGGCCTCAGGCTGGGATGAAAGGGTAGAAAAATCCTCGAAACCGATCACAGGTATATCACAGGTACACCCGATGGAATAATACCAAGAATTTTAAGGGGATATATGGGTGTGGCTTAGCAGGCCGCTCCCACACATCTTCTAAAAAAGAATGAACATGGAATGAACATAGAATGCGGGAACAATCACAACATAAATTATACTCAGATTCCATAAAGACGCTTCTTTACTAAGGATACAACAAGAAGAATGTGACATGGTTGGAAATTCTCTCTGATAAACCACAGAATTAGCAGATTTTTTTTTCAACGTAAGAGAGATACAGAAGTGTAATGAACAGAACAATAACAGTGTTCTGACGTAATCACGAGACCGCACTCACGGCGCTAGTTAAGATGGCCGCAAGAAAGGAAAGCGGACTCCTAACAGTGCTACAAAAATATATGTTTTGGGGGGCATATTTGAGGCTCACTTGATGGAACAAATTCACCAGATTGAAAACCACCTGAAAGAGTCTCACCTGGTGCCAAATACTCACCTGGGAGGATGATAGGCGCCCATCGAAAGGCTGTGGGACCCGAAGTCGATGGAGTGAGGTTCCTCCCTCCTGGTGGGGGCCGCAGCTGCCCTGCACACACACAAACAATACAAAATTTAGGCAACCATGCAACTGTAGCTCTTCGGGGATACCCAATTAACGCTGGAATGCAATGAAATACAAGTATAAATGAATACACAATGTATACCTCAAATAGAGCTTTATTAAGTTATATCATTGAGCGAAATGCAGCTATAATAAAGGCTTACACTATTGCATTCGTTTTTCTCATCTATCTAGACACAAAAAATAATTAATTCTATTTTGAAACTCTGAAGACAATGGTAGAACCGTGAGTGAAATGTGTTGAAGGAAAGACATAGGTACAGAATAAGTCTTTATTGGCAACGTTTCGCTCTGCTTTAAGCTTTATCAAGTCAGTGACTTAAAAACTCTAAATAGAGCAATAAATGTTACAATAAAAGTTTACTCTATTTTTGTTCCTTAATATGAATCACCCTTACGAATCTAGCGCTTTCCCATTAACATAATAGTAATCTGTTATATACAAGATTATCTTAAAATAAGAAAGGATTATATTACAAAAATGTGGGTGTGATCCAGAATGACTAGTGGGAAGTTATACATAACTTACCCGTGGGCGTGGGAGAGGTGTGACGGGCGTGTGGCGCCCACACGCAGGTGGGCCCCAGGGTAATTAACCTGGTAGACGGTGTGTTCTGGGTGCAGCGTGTCAAGCAGGCGCGGCGGAGGCAAGTCTGTGGAGAGAGGAATGCAAGACGAGGTATGTGGCAGATATCCTTAGAGTGTGAATGCACAGTACTATGTAGAACAAACTTTTATTTGGGGAGCAACGTTTCGTTCAGGATAGAGCTTTATGACATGATGAAGCTCTCTAAAAAAAATACACAGGTGGGGTTAAAACCAGCGATCAAGAGTCACAAAACTCCAGACGGTCCTGGATTCACACCAGGGGACATATTTCAAGGTGAAGAACTGGATCAGGCTTTCCAGGGTCGGAGGTCATACCAGGAAGTACGTCAAGTGATAACAAGACCTTTTATCGTAGTTATGGGAATAAGGAGAGGATCAGGGAAGAGATGATTACGATGGTAAGAATATGGGATTGTATTTTTTCTAGAGTGAAGGTTGGACGTGGCGGAAGAAATTTGTTCTGATTATTTCGATTCACCTGATTTCCATACAAGTATTTCATGGAACATTATGTAGCATAAAAGTTAGAGTTTGAATAACTAATATATGCTGAAGTTCTATATGATTTAAAAAAGTTTAATTAATTAACTCATCTCCAACTCAAATAATCAAGTGATTAATCAAAGAAGTTGCCTTGAAAATGTTTCAATTTTTGTTCTGTGAATGTTTAGTTTCTTACCACAGGGAGTCTGCTGCCTCACAAACCTGATTTTCCTCTTATATTCGCCTGTGATTACAGAGGAGAAAGAGAGAGAGAGAGAGAGAGAGAGAGAGAGAGAGAGAGAGAGAGAGAGAGAGAGAGAGAGAGAGAGAGAAACAGGTTGCTTGAAATATATAATGAGATAGAAGAGAATGTGTTTAAGGCAAACTTCATATACAGTGTGATGAATAAGTATGACAAGTCAGGTCAGTTTATGTTGATCAAGGTAGCATGAGGAAACTGGGATAAAAGCTAACAATAGGCTCTCTCAAACAGCTCCACACACAACACACACACACACACACACACACACACACACACACACACAACTTTTGGGGGCTATCCTTTAGAAAAATCTCCTTAAATTTTTCACCAGTGTACGCCAGTACAAATTATAATTATTGAGAAGAATAAAGCATCTTAAATCCGATCCGCCATCTCTTTCCCATGAAGCGAAGGTAACAGCACTAACCTCCATGGCGAGGAACCCGCAACAACAAAGTTACAGTGTCAACATTAATGAGACTGAGGTCAGAATATCCCCGAGCAGCTCGGGAGAAGAAGTCACCATTAAAACTTTGTCACCTCACTTTTTATACTGGGAAGTTGGACATGTGACGCTTCGACGGAGCTCTTAAAAGTTATCATCGGCTGTCGGAAACAATAGAAGCACTGGAGGGCTCTCGAAAAATTGCAAGTTCCTTGTGTTATTGGGCGATGACGGTGAAGGTGATGCTGCGAGCGTTGGTGTTGTTGCAGGTGTTGGTGTTGCTGCGGGTGTTGGTGTTGCTGCGAGCGTTGGTGTTGCTGCAGGTGTTGGTGGTGCTGCGGGTGTTGGTGTTGCTGCGAGCGTTGGTGTTGCTGCGAGCGTTGGTGTTGCTGCGGGTGTTGGTGGTGCTGTGGGTGTTGATGTTGCTGCGGGTGTTGGTGTTGCTGCGGGTGTTGGTGTTGCTGTGGGTGTTGGTGTTGCTGCGGGTGTTGGTGTTGCTGGGGTGTTGGTGTTGCTGTGGGTGTTGGTGTTGCTGTGAGTGTTGGTGTTGCTGTGGGTGTTGGTGGTGCTGCGGGTGTTTGGTGTTGTTTGCTGTGGGTGTTGGTGTTGCTGTGGGTGGTTGGTGTTGCTGTGGTGTTGGTGTGTGCTGGGTGTTGGTGTTGCTGCGGGTGTTGATGTTGCTGCGGGTGTTGGTGTTGCTGTGGGTGTTGGTAGTGCTGCGGGTGTTGGTGTTGCTGCGGGTGTTGGTGTTGCTGTGGGTGTGTTGTGTGATGTGCTGCGGGTGTTGATGTTGCTGCGGGTGTTGGTGTTGCTGTGGTGTTGGTAGTTGCTGCGGGTGTTGGTGTTGCTGCGGGTGTTGGTGTTGCTGTGGGTGTTGGTGTTGCTGCGAGCGTTTGGTGTTGCTGTGGGTGTTGGTGTTGCTGTGGGTGTTGGTGTTGCTGGGGTGTTGTGTGCTGTGGGTGTTGGTGTTGCTGCGGGTGTTGGTGTTGCTGCGGGTGTTTGTGTTGTTGTGGGTGTTGATGTTGCTGTGGTGTTGGTGTTGCTGTGGGTGTTGGTGTTGCTGCGGGTGTTGGTGGTGCTGTGGGTGTTGGTGTTGCTGTGGGTGTTGGTGTTGCTGCGGGTGTTGGTGTTGTTGTGGGTGTTGGTGTTGCTGCGGGTGTTGGTGTTGTGTGGGTGTTGGTGTTGTGTGGGTGTTGGTGTTGCTGCGGGTGTTGGGGTGTTGTGTTGTGGGTGTTGGTGTTGCTGCGGTGTTGGTGTTGCTGCGGGTTGTTTGTGGTTGGTGTTGTGGGTGTTGGTGTTGCTGCGGGTGTTGGTGTTGTTGTGGGTGTTGGTGTTGCTGCGGGTGTTGGTGTTTGCTGTGGGTGTGTGTGTGTTGCTGCGGGTGTTGGTGTTGCTGCGGGTGTTGCGTTGCTGCGGTGTGTTGGTGTTGCTGAGGGTGTTGGTGTTGCTGCGGGTGGTTTGGTGGGGTGTGGTGGCGGGTGTTGGTGTTGCTGAGGGTGTTGGTGTTGCTGCGGGTGTTGGTGTTGTTGTGGGTGTTGGTGTTGCTGTGGGTGTTGGTGTTACTGCGAGCGTTGGTGTTGCTGCGAGCGTTGGTGTTGCTGTGGGTGTTGGTGTTGCTGTGGGTGTTGGTGTTGCTGTGGGTGTTGGTGTTGCTGTGGGTGTTGGTGTTGCTGCGGGTGTTGGTGTTGCTGCGGGTGTTGGTGTTGCTGTGGGTGTTGGTGTTGTTGTGGGTGTTGGTGTTGCTGCGGGTGTTGGTGCTGCTGTGGGTGTTGGTGTTGCTGCGGGTGTTGGTGTTGCTGTGGGCGTCGGTGTTGCTGTGGGTGTTGGTGTTGCTGCGGGCGTTGGTGTTGCTGTGGATGTTGGTGTTGCTGCGGGTGTTGGTGTTGCTGCGGGTGTTTGTGCTGCTGTGGGTGTTGGTGTTGCTGTGGGTGTTGGTGTTGCTGTGGGTATTGGTGTTGCTGTGGGTGTTGGTGTTGCTGTGGATGTTGGTGTTGCTGCGGGTGTTGGTGTTGCTGCGGGTGTTGGTGTTGCTGTGGGTGTTGGTGTTGCTGCGAGCGTTAGTGTTGCTGTGGGTGTTGGTGTTGCTGTGGATGTTGGTGTTGCTGTGGGTGTTGGTGTTGCTGCGAGCGTTGGTGTTGCTGCGAGTGTTGGTGTTGCTGTGGGTGTTGGTGTTGCTGTGGGTGTTGGTGTTGCTGCGAGCGTTGGTGCTGCTGTGGGTGTTGGTGTTGCTGTGGGTGTTGGTGTTGCTGTGGGTGTTGGTGTTGCTGCGAGCGTTGGTGTTGCTGCGAGTGTTGGTGTTGCTGTGGGTGTTGGTGTTGCTGCGGGTGTTGGTGTTGCTGCGAGCGTTGGTGTTGCTGCGGGTGTTGGTGCTGCTGTGGGTGTTGGTGTTGCTGCGAGCGTTGGTGTTGCTGCGGGTGTTGGTGCTGCTGTGGGTGCTGGTGTTGCTGCGGGTGTTGGTGTTGCTGCGAGCGTTGGTGTTGCTGTGGGTGTTGGTGTTGCTGCGGGTGTTGGTGTTGCTGCGGGTGTTGGTGTTGCTGCGGGTGTTGGTGTTGCTGCGGGTGTTGGTGTTGCTGTGGGTGTTAGTGTTGCTGTGGGTGTTGGTGTTGCTACAGGTGTTAGTGCTGGTGTTACAGATATTAGTGCTGCTGCAGAATTAGATCCACTGCAGATATTAAATCTACTGCAGGTGTTGGCGCCGTAGGTGTTGGTGCTCCTGCAGTTTCTGGACTTGTCTAAAGTTAATGATGCTAGTTAACCTTTCCCACAGGAATTAAAGAACGGATGGGGAATGGGTATCAATCCGGTTCGACACCAAGAGAATCAAGATCATTCCCCTCCTCACCAGCATCAGGACCCCTCCCTTGATGCTCTCATTCGTGTTGCATCTCCTCCCAACGTGATATATATTTGAGCACTATGTTGCCATCATCCCAGGATTGCAATATGCAACAGCAATCTTATGTTTCAACATTCGTACAGTTAATCCCTGGCAAGTACCTCGTTACGAGTGCCATAGTTGGCACCCAGTTCCGATGTGAAACGTAAAGCAAGTATCGCAGACAAATATCATAGGATGACCCTTGGTCTAGACGTTTCGCTCGATATTAGAACTTCATAACTTGATAAAGGTCTACACAGAGCGAAACGTTTTCTTAATAAAGGTTAACTGCGTGTCTTCTGAACATGTCTAAAGTGACAGTTGAAGCCTGAGTGAAATATAGGAAATATTGAGCCTCATTTTCGGTTTACGTCAGTGAGCGCTGGATGTACGTCAGTGAACGCTGGACGTACGTCAGTGAGCGCTGGACGTACGTCAGTGAGCGCTGGACGTACGTCAGTGAGCGCTGGATGTACGTCAGTGAACGCTGGACGTACGTCAGTGAGCGCTGGACGTACGTCAGTGAGCGCTGGACTTGATTTGCTCAAGGCACTAGTTCATCTTGTATACCCTTCAAAGAAGGTACGTGCCTTGATGGCGGTGAAGGGATATTGATTAACGGAATTGGAATAATAATAATAATAATAATAATAATAATAATAATAATAATAATAATAATAATAATAATAATAATAATAATAATAATAATAAATTGTGCACTTCTGTTAAACTATGTTATAGTCGGCTTGAAAGCTATATGATATACAGATAACAAAGCTGGGAAATACACTGTTACTGCAGAGTGTTATTAGGGTCATATTCATATTTCCGCTGTACTGTCGCCTCACACAACTGTTTGCCAAGCCAGAGCTCAACACATCCAGCTCTTTTCGTGTCGTTAAAACACAGTTTCTCATTAAAGAAATGCTTAATTATTACTTTAAGAGTATTCCGTTAGCGGGAGTTCCAAGCGCTGAGGCCACAAGCGGTGAATAATGTAATGATTCCCTTGTGTCCGTGTGGACGCACCATCTGCTACCCTGCCGACCGTTGCCAGGTTAGCGACAGTGACTAGTTTCGGTAGGGCGTCGTTCAAGGTTCTTCGGGACGACGTGCGGTTAAGACGCGTCACGTCTCTACAAACGTGCATTTTGTAACTTGCTTCGTTGAGTAATGGTTGTTAATGGTAGCCATGTCGGTGGCTAGCTGGAGTTGTCTTGTCTGGTGCGAGTGGCAGCCAGGAGTCCACCACACAACAGCTGGCCATGGTGACCGCTGGGAGGGTCATCCCTCCGCTCCTCACTGGTATTTACTGCGGCCATGAACACTTGTGGCATGAAGTATAGGCACTGCGTATACAGCATAAGGTCTATAGAAGCTTTCAGTTATACCCTCAGAGTTTAGCTTAATCTCGTTGGAAATAAGTCACTTTGTTTGACTTTAATGGGTGAGCCATCACGAAAGTGCTTGTAATTTTATCATTTTTTTACTGTGGTTAATTTTGCATATTGTGATATCCCCTGTTTATTATAATCTTATTGATCTTATTGCATATGTTACTGGGTATGATAATTGTACTTACGTATAACCTGTACCTAAATAAACAAACATATTTAAGATTAGATGCATTTTGCTCACTGCGTGATCCGAGAAAGGTTCCTCAACCTACCTCAGGAGGCAAAGGAATTGTAGCCAAACTCCCCGAAGAAACAACCTGGGAGTTATCTGTCAACACTTCCGAGCTGTCCAGTAGCTGGAGGTTAACATCCTGAAGCCCCCTCTAGGGAGGAGCCTTGAGGCTCGTGATCCAAGGAATTTAGCCTATCTTCCTTTTCTTGGGTTAAATTTGACTGCTTCTCATTCCTCCTGACGTTGTGAGACACACTGAGGACCGGGGTTCGATCCCCGTTACGGGTGGAAACAGGACGTGTTTTCTTAAGACATCTGCTGTCCAGTGTTCACCTAGCAGTAAAACAGGCACCTGGGATTTAGTCGACTGGCGTGGGTCGCATCCCGGGACAAAATTTACCTAATTTGGCAGAAATGCTCTGTATAACAAGCGGCTTTCTATATAGTAGTATGTTACTGATGTCAGCTATGGTCTGTATACTTTGCAAATGTACTTGTAGAAATAAAGATTATTATTATTATTATTATTATAGTTTGGAAATCACCCATTAATGTAATAATAATAATAATAATAATAATAATAATAATAATAATAATAATAATAATCATGCCTTGTCTTCTTCCTCCTCTTTATCTTCCGCCTCTTCCTACACAGCCTACACGAACACCATCAAGGGTGGAGTTTGGCAGCTACGGTGCAAAACCGGACTATACCTCATGAGCAATAAGGTCTTTAATCCCAATACTTATTATAAGAAGTTGCTTATTAAGAACTGTGCTGGCTGTAAGTCGATCTCCTCTCTCCCTCCTCGCTCGGCTGACTTACTCATGTCCCTAAGATGAAGAAACTCGTTAACGGTCGGGAAGCAGTCTGGTGTCGAGCTGCTGAAGCTACTGCAGGCAGGGAGGTGCTGCAGAAGCGCCACGGCTCCACGGGGGTCCTGACTGCATTAGGGTTCTGACTGTATGATGGGGGATCTTGATTGTTTGGGGGTACTGGCTTCACGGAGTCCTGACTGGGGTCCTGACTTCATGAATATTCACACACACACACGCACACACACACACACACACACACACACACACACACACTGTAACAAGCAGATGAGCACAATTAAGCAGTGTGTCTCGCAGTCAGCTAACGGAGGATCGAGTATCCACACCTTCAGAAAGAATAATTATATAAAAAAGAGTATCTCCTCTCTAGGTATTTTATCACTTCTCTCCTCTCGTCACATAAACATTTGTGGGTACTCACTGCGGTCAAGGAGAGTCGTGGAGTCCAGAAGGTGACCTGGTTTCACATTGGCCGTGACAATGACCTTGGGAGGCAGCGGCACAGTGCCGTGACCTGACCTTCTCCTGGTGGCTCCTCCGTGATAGTGACTCCGGCCCTGTGGACAACACAACATCCTCTTGTCAGGTCAGTGGTCATTGTTAGACGGAAAATACCCTTGTTCCCGAGTGGGAGTGAGAGGGAGCTTGTTCCCGAGTGGGAGTGAGAGGGAGCTTGTTCCCGAGTGGGAGGCAGAGAGAGGGAGTTGTGACAGAGGAAGAAAGGTGAAGTGAGAGAGAGAGATATCCTAGGTAGGAGGATCGAGGGTACCTCCCTAACTCCATCTCATGGGATCAAACGCCATCTAATTTTCATGAATTTTCTTTGAAGTCTAAACAGTAAGATTTATCACTTGAAAAATAAAACAAGTTCCAATGTGAAAATTCAGTTCGATATATTAGGGAACTCCGAAGGGATCACTGTGAAGCAGGAAGCACTTCAGGGATCACTGTGAAGCAGGAAGCACTTCAGGGATCACTGTGAAGCAGGAAGCACTTCAGGGATCATTGTGAAGCAGGAAGCACTTCAGGGATCATTGTGAAGCAGGAAGCACTTCAGGGATCATTGTGAGGCAGGGAGCGCCTCAGGCATCTCACCAGGGTGTCCCAGTTCTCATATTCTTCTCGTCTTGATCCATTACAGAACAAAACTCTGTCAGGATGCTCCGTCGACAGAATAGACCGCACCACAAGTCAGCAAATTCATCTTCTCAGAAAGAATACTAAGATGAAGGAACTGGCCAGTGAGTGAGAGAGAGAGAGAGAGAGAGAGAGAGAGAGAGAGAGAGAGAGAGAGAGAGAGAGAGAGAGAGAGAGAGAGAGAGAGAGAGAGAGAGAGAGAGAGAGAGAGAGAGAGAGATAATAAGAGAGAAAAAGAGACAGAGAGAAAGAAATAACCATAAACAAGCTTCAGACTCCAATATTGTGAAGACAGAAGAGGTTATAAAACACTGGCTGATGGAATGACCAGCCCCGGGCCTCGACACCCTCCCTAAACATCCACAAATTTATTGATACATCGGGTCTAAGTCACTTGTCGGGGAGAGCGATGTATACACCTTTCTGGCGAGGATCTGAGGAGGTGATAAAAGGAGAAGGATAGTGCATCCGTGTTCCCCTGGACGCAGGGAAAGGTAGTTTGCCTTGAAAAACGTTCTTCCCCTCTGATGAGGTTGGTATTTTAGGTAAAAATCTGTTACCAGGAGAAGAAGTCATTGTAGGGGAAATATTTGAAAAAAAAAAATGTGTGGAGAAGAAAACTTTATTAAAATTTGGGTAATGTTGTAGATTTCTTATGGTTGGTTTGGTAGTTTTAATAACTCGGCTGTACGTTGATCATTAAGTTTGTACGTTGATCATTAAGTTTGTACGTTGATCATTAAGTTTGTACGTTGATCATTAAGTTTGTACGTTGATCATTAAGTTTGTACGTTGATCATTAAGTTTGTACGTTGATCATTAAGTTTGTACGTTGATCATTAAGTTTGTACGTTGATCATTAAGTTTGTACGTTGATCATTAAGTTTGTACGTTGATCATTAAGTTTGTACGTTGATCATTAAGTTTGTACGTTGATCATTAAGTTTGTACGTTGATCATTAAGTTTGTACGTTGATCATTAAGTTTGTACGTTGATCATTAAGTTTGTACGTTGATCATTAAGTTTGTACGTTGATCATTAAGTTTGTACGTTGATCATTAAGTTTGTACGTTGATCATTAAGTTTGTACGTTGATCATTAAGTTTGTACGTTGATCATTAAGTTTGTACGTTGATCATTAAGTTTGTACGTTGATCATTAAGTTTGTACGTTGATCATTAAGTTTGTACGTTGATCATTAAGTTTGTACGTTGATCATTAAGTTTGTACGTTGATCATTAAGTTTGTACGTTGATCATTAAGTTTGTACGTTGATCATTAAGTTTGTACGTTGATCATTAAGTTTGTACGTTGATCATTAAGTTTGTACGTTGATCATTAAGTTTGTACGTTGATCATTAAGTTGTACGTTGATCATTAAGTTTGTACGTTGATCATTAAGTTTGTACGTTGATCATTAAGTTTGTACGTTGATCATTAAGTTTGTACGTTGATCATTAAGTTTGTACGTTGATCATTAAGTTTGTACGTTGATCATTAAGTTTGTACGTTGATCATTAAGTTTGTACGTTGATCATTAAGTTTGTACGTTGATCATTAAGTTTGTACGTTGATCATTAAGTTTGTACGTTGATCATTAAGTTTGTACGTTGATCATTAAGGCTGGTTTAGAAAGACACGTAAGCAAACACTATAACATATTTATTAGAAAACGTTTCGGTCCTGGAACCTTGATCACTTGATCAAGGTTCCAGGACCGAAACGTTTTCTAATAAATATGTTATAGTGTTTGCTTACGTGTCTTTCTAAACCAACTTGTCGGTATTTATTACCAAGGTTTATACCATCATTAAGGCTGCACATTGGTTATTAAGGCTGCACATTGATCATTAAGGCTGCACATTGGTCATTAAGTTTGCACATTGATCATTAAGGCTGCACATTGGTCATTAAGGCTGCACATTGATCATTAAGGCTGTACGTTGATCATTAAGGCTGTACGTTGATCATTAAGGCTGTACGTTGATCATTAAGGCTGCACATTGGTCATTAAGTTTGCACATTGATCATTAAGGCTGTACGTTGATCATTAAGGCTGTACGTTGATCATTAAGGCTGTACGTTGATCATTAAGGCTGTACGTAAATCATTAAGGCTGTACGTTGATCATTAAGGCTGTACGTTGATCATTAAGGCTGTACGTTGATCATTAAGGCTGTACGTTGATCATTAAGGCTGTACGTTGATCATTAAGGCTGTACGTAAATCATTAAGGCTGCACATTGATCATTAAGGCTGTACGTTGATCATTAAGGCTGTACGTTGATCATTAAGGCTGTACGTTGATCATTAAGGCTGTACGTTGATCATTAAGGCTGTACGTAAATCATTAAGGCTGCACATTGGTCATTAAGGCTGCACATTGGTCATTAAGTTTGCACATTGGTCATTAAGGCTGCACATTGGTCATTAAGTATACACATTGGTCATTAAGGCTGCACATTGGTCATTAAGTTTACACATTAGTCATTAAGACTGCACATTGGTCATTAAGGCTGCACATTGATCATTAAGACTGTACGTTGATCATTAAGGCTGCACATTGGTCATTAAGGCTGCACATTGGTCATTAAGGCTGCACATTGATCATTAAGGCTGTACGTTGATCATTAAGGCTGTACGTTGATCATTAAGGCTGTACGTTGATCATTAAGGCTGTACGTAAATCATTAAGGCTGTACGTAAATCATTAAGGCTGCACATTGGTCATTAAGGCTGCACATTGGTCATTAAGGCTGCACATTGGTCATTAAGGCTGCACATTGATCATTAAGACTGCACATTGGTCATTAAGGCTGCACATTGGTCATTAAGGCTGCACATTGGTCATTAAGGCTGTACGTTGATCATTAAGGCTGTAGGTTGATCATTAAGGCTGTACGTTGATCATTAAGGCTGTACGTAAATCATTAAGGCTGTACGTAAATCATTAAGGCTGCACATTGGTCATTAAGGCTGCACATTGGTCATTAAGGCTGTACGTTGATCATTAAGGCTGCACATTGGTCATTAAGGCTGTACGTTGATCATTAAGGCTGTACGTTGATCATTAAGGCTGCACATTGGTCATTAAGGCTGTACGTTGATCATTAAGGCTGTACGTTGATCATTAAGGCTGTACGTTGATCATTAAGGCTGTACGTAAATCATTAAGGCTGTACGTTGATCATTAAGGCTGTACGTTGATCATTAAGGCTGTACGTAAATCATTAAGGCTGTACGTTGATCATTAAGGCTGTACGTAAATCATTAAGGCTGTACGTTGATCATTAAGGCTGTACGTTGATCATTAAGGCTGTACGTTGATCATTAAGGCTGTACGTTGATCATTAAGGCTGTACGTAAATCATTAAGGCTGTACGTTGATCATTAAGGCTGTACGTTGATCATTAAGGCTGTACGTTGATCATTAAGGCTGCACATTGATCATTAAGGCTGCACATTGATCATTAAGGCTGCACATTGGTCATTAAGGCTGCACATTGATCATTAAGACTGCACATTGATCATTAAGGCTGCACATTGATCATTAAGACTGCACATTGATCATTAAGACTGCACATTGATCATTAAGACTGCACATTGATCATTAAGACTGCACATTGATCATTAAGGCTGCACATTGATCATTAAGGCTGCACATTGATCATTAAGACTGCACATTGATCATTAAGACTGCACATTGATCATTAAGGCTGCACATTGATCATTAAGACTGCACATTGATCATTAAGACTGCACATTGGTCATTAAGGCTGCACATTGATCATTAAGACTGCACATTGATCATTAAGACTGCACATTGATCATTAAGTTTGCACATTGATCATTAAGTTTGCACATTGATCATTAAGTTTGCACATTGATCATTAAGGCTGCACATTGATCATTAAATTTGCACATTGATCATTAAGGCTGCACATTGATCATTAAGGCTGCACATTGATCATTAAGGCTGCACATTGATCATTAAGGCTGCACATTGATCATTAAGGCTGCACATTGATCATTAAGACTGCACATTGATCATTAAGGCTGCACATTGATCATTAAGGCGGGACTTTGATCATTAAGGCTGCACATTGATCATTAAGGCTGCACATTGATCATTAAGGCTGCACATTGATCATTTAGGTTGCATATCAACTGTGCTACTAGTCCATAATAGTTTAATCTTAATCATTAAGTTCTCGTAATATCATAAGGAACACATGATCATTAAGCTGCACATTGGTCATTAATCTGCCATTGATCATTAAGGTCCCTTCACATTGATCATTAAGGTGTCCATTTGAATCATATAAGTCTGCTCTTGATCATTAGATTTGCACATTGATCATGTTAAGGCTGCAACATATAAATATTAAGGCTGTCACATTGATCATTAAGCTGACATTG